AGAATGACTGTAAATTGTTCAAGGTAACGTGCGTGCCTCAACATCTGCAAATTTCCGATAATCAAACGTTGCATATTGAATTGTTTCATATTCAGTGGTGTGCTGCCTTGACGTCTTCATGTAATTATTTATTTACATTAATATTAACATTACTGATTACGAAAAGCAAAATACCAATCGTTTATTTTGTTGCCATCTTCATAAGGATCTTATAAATACCCAGAGAGTTCTGCTCCGCAATAATATATCAATGCAAATTAAAATATAGTTACCTCTGGTTGGTTATTTAACACATCTTTAGAGCCATGCCAAACAACATCATTCGTGTTTGTCATCTTTGAAAATAAATTTTTTTCCAAAAAAAGTCAATTACGCGTCAACAAAAAAACACCAAGTGCCAATAATTTAATAATTAATGTGTACGCGTCGATCAAATAGCAAATTCTTTGACACTTATAAAAATCCCGTAACACTGCTTTTTTCCTTACTTGGGATAGATTGTATGATTTTTGTTTTTTTTTTGTAAATTAAATTTGTTGTTTGCCTATATTTGTAAATAAACAGTGGTACGGGAGTCTCTCTTGCTCACTTGCACATCCTCGATTACAAAACTTGTTAATACATAACAATGTACATGATGATTGTAATCGTCAAAGATCAAATTCAGGCAATCGTTCATCTAAAGTTTTTTTTTTTTTGATTTTCATAAAATCAATCCAACACGGCGCAACTCTAATTCTTAAAAACGTTTGCATCAAATTCATTCATTTCTCTCTCTTATTATTATTATTTCGAGCATGTTAAATTCGCGCGTTTGATTATTGTTGATAGTTTCTATTCTACGATGTGGCAATGCTTCTTATTTGAATGTTACTATTTCTAACATTATTTTATTTAAATAATAGTAATATTTAACTCGTTGTCACCTGTTCGTCAGAATTTAAATTAATATTGTAAAATTCAACTTTTTTTTTCTGCCGTCATCATTATCGTATCGTTATTATCCTAAGTATCAGTTCAGTTATGACCAAGAATGAATAAACAACAGCAATAAGAGTTAGTCGAATGTGTCGCACAATTCAAGATTGAGAAATTTCAATCAACACAATAATAACGTCAATGATAATGGCAATGATAACTTTTTAAATGATAACAATGATCAAGGAAGTAGTTTCATCCAACAACGATAATTGCCATAATTTTAATTATTATCATATTTGCTAGTTAAAAAAAATGTCAATTATAATTTCTAATTTAACGATTTATTTGTATAATTATTTATTTTCTTATATTTATATAAAATAAAGATTATTATTAGCATTATATATATATAATTATGATATATATATATAAAAAACACATTTTTTTAAAAAAATTTGATGATGGTGATTTAGTGTGTAATAATTAATAAAAGAAAATATCTATGTACAATATTAATATGTTTGCCGTTTAAAGATTTTTAAAAGGGGAATACGTTAAAATTAAAATTACAAGGTGTATTATTTTATTATATTATTATACTTTGCTTTTGCGTATTAAAAAAAAAACTTAATCAAAGGAATTATTTAAAAATATCTTAATATATATATATATATATATAGTCCTTTTTTAATGATAATGACGATCTACAATAAATTTTTTCATAATTCTTTCTAAGCGTTCCATATTTTCTTCCATAGTTTTAATCAAAAAAATTACGTTTTGATGAATATCTTTCAAATCGTCTTGTTCATAAAAGATATCATTATCATTTGTCGCCATAATTGGAGTTGGTGTGTTTTCATCGTCAATCTTTGCCATTTGGCAATCCAACTTATTCATTACCTTCTCCAGTTCGTCAACAGTTAAGAACATTCTTTCAACTATTTTTACAGCATATGGATTATATTGTAAGAAAGATATTATAAAAAAGGTATTATTAATTAGCTCAGAGATTAATTACCTTCTTCTTCTAATATAGCCATGATATCTTCATTAAGAACACACACGTTCAAATCCGATTGTATGCCATACAATCTCTGTCTGATTTTACTCGGAATCACAAATGACGATGATGCATAATTTTCAATGGTATAGATCCGTTGTAATTTTCCCATTTTTTAGTTGTTGTGATTGGCTGTTGCTGAGGGAAGTGGAAAAATGTGGAAGACTTTGTTTGATTTTGATTTTTATATATTACAACTATATATAATTTTCTCACAAAGAATGCGTCTACGATGATGATGATGATGGTAATAATAATAAATTAATTAACTGATTAATTTACCATGGATTTAGGTTGTGATTTAAAATTAAGATATATATAAACATCAGTTTCAGTATTGATATAAATATATGATTAGTGTTGGTATTGTGGGGCGTATTTGTTTGTGTTATCCTGTTGTTTGGATTTGTTGAATTTGTTGAATTTGTTGAATTTGTTGGGTTGATTGGATTGGTAGGATTGTGGTAATGATTTCTTTGAGGATTTGTGTTAAGAAACTTGTAAGCTTTTCTAATTTACACTTTTATAATTAATAATTCTATATTTGAAGCTGTTGATGTTGCTGCTGTTGCAAGTAATTATTATTATTATTATTATTATTATTATTATTTATTAAATAGAATTGAGAAGAAGTAATGGAAGCGCATGCGTAAAACGTTGGCTGATGTACAAAATGACAATTCATCGAGTTGTTAAAAATTTTTAGAAAAAACTTTTTTATAATTATTATTTATAATATATTATATATATCTATAGGTATATTTTAGAATAAAAAAATTTGTGAATTTTAGAAAGAAAAAAGTTTGTAGAAAAGAACAAACAAAAAAGGAGTTATTTTATATATAAAATAAAAAAGGGAGCTTTTTTTGATGATGAATAATGAATAATTGAAAAAAAAAATATAATGAAATAGCTTTATTTATTATGTTTATTTTTCCTGCACGTACTTGCGTATCACAAACACAAAAATTCAATTTTGAAAAAGCACCATCACACTAATCTTAATATATTGTTATTGTTTTTAAACTTTTCCATTCTCTTTTGTGTAATATAGATACACGTGTTACGTGTGACATTCATAATAAACGGGAAAAAATGGGTTATCTATCTAGAAAAAAAAAATTTTTTTTTTGAATTAAATCTCTAAAAAAAAACCAGTTTTAAAGTTTGTTCGCTTTTTCATTTTCATTTGTTATTACTATTTTTTATCATTATCGACTTTTATCCTTTTCCCACCATTATCACTGTCATATATAAAATCGAAATTATGCAAACTAGTTGTAGTCGATAATATTTATATGTGTTCATTGTTTTTAAAAGAGTTCATTGTCACTTAACTATTTGCATTTTTCGCAAATTTATTGTTTCTTAAAATTTTGCTTTGCGTCAAGGACATCATCTATCTATGTTTGTTTGTTTTTTTAGTTCCAATATTTTCTCATTAAATCGTTCGAATTTTCAATAGAGTAATGTCTAGTTTAATCTAACCAGTTATCAATTATATATATATATATAATTCAGCCATTTCCCCCAAAATAAAAATGATATTTTTTGATAAGAAACAAGATTTCTCAATAATAATTATTACTACCATGATGCGATGGCGACGATGGAAAACAACGCCAATCAAATTCATCATCGTTATTTAAAATGTCAAGTTTGAAATTCGTTTCACATATAATTTTTCCACGAACACAAAATAATATATATATTTTTTTTTATTAAAGATAAGAACATTTGAATGGAAACTTTTAATAATTTTATTAATTGACACAACATATTTAATCGTCCAATTGATAAATGTCATTGCGCATTAAGAACTCTTTCTTGCGATTCTATTTTTGAGTTTTAATATTAATATTATACATGTGATGTATCAATTATATCGAAACAATATTTCTTTGTACAATAATAAATCTTGAGGTCACAGAACTTGAGAAGATTGACCAATCCCAGCGTGAATCAAGTCTTATCAAACTATCTACGGATTTTTCTTGTAAACAAACTGTTCATATTAAATTTTGAACCCTACATATATATAATATTTGGTAGCACGAATACCTTCAAAAATCGCATCTCAGCTGCAGCAGCAGTCTATCTATATAGTTTTTGAAGTCTTGTTTAACATAATAATTATAATTGTACTAGTACCAATAATATAATGGTCCCTTGCTTCAAACCTTGTTAATTACTTAATATCCTCCATAGCCAAAAATATAAAGTCATGCTTGGTTTACTTTTTTCATTTTTTCATTTTCGACTTGACCAGGTTATTCAGGTTTAATCCAGTTTGACTTACTATTTTTGAGCTTGAGCCTCCGTGTGAACTTTTGTTTGATCAATTGAGGTTTTTTTGTTTCTCGAATGGTTTGTTCGTATCCAAGGTTATTTTCCTTGTTCTCATTTAGTTTCCTTTTCAGTCTATATAGCAATATCATTCTTCAACTGCTGACCTTGTTGGTTATTATCCCTTGTAATTGGCTTATGTAGCTTGTATTTCCAAAATGCGCTTCAAAATCAACATCCTACAACTCTGTTTCAAGCGTATCAATGGCAGATCTTGTAAAACAATCCTTGGTGATTACATTTTTATCTACAAGAGTACCTTTTATAATTAATTAAGTGAATAATTGGCATTTCGACTGATAAAATTTGAAAGTATATACAGTTACAAATGTGATACCTAATTTATCAAAACAAGTTTGTCAGCGATCACATTCACATGCTATCTGCTATAATAGATAAAAGGTGGGTCACCAGGTCATTTTCAAATTCTGATGTTACGCGATCCGAAAAATCGAGTTTGTCCAGTCTTTGGAACCGAAACCAGCCCAGAACAACTTTTACATAAAAAGAAATTTTAACTAATAAATTCAAAATTTATCGATTGAATTTATACTTGCCTCTCATACTATTACTATGTAATATGGAACAGTCCCTAATCCCATTTGGTATGTGTGGGCGAGGCTCTGAGATCAGTAAAAATCTCATCCCATATCCCAATCTCCCATACTAACCAATCATATTTTCGTTACACCATTAAATAATTCAATAAACAGGAAGATCGACCGGAAATATGGATATATTCGAATATTTGTTGTTGTAAATATTATTTTTGATTATTATTATTTGGATATTCGTAATTATTTCAAATAAATGTAAACATTTAAACACTTTTGTTTATTTCGAATATTCATAATTATTTCAAAAACTTGTATTTAATTTCAAGTTTTTCGAACACTTTTGCTTATTTCAAATATTCATTAATTTTGTAAATACTTAACAAGTTACAGTATACCCACTAAATTATATTTGCTATAAAAAAAAAATATATTACATTTGGATTTTGAGAATACACTTTTACCTGAACTCGGCATGTTCTTACACTTCCATCGTTACTAAATGAAATTCTCATGTAGCCTACCTTTCTTCTCATGTTTTTTTTTTTTTGGCTTGTAGTTGACAAATTATTCAGTGGTAATGGCAAAATAGATGAAAAGGTTTCTGAATTGGTTGTTTAGATAGATATCCGCATATTATTCATAAACATGAATTGGCTCATCTTCTAATGTCAAATCAGTTAAATCACTCATACTTGAAATTAAGGAATTAAAATTTTATTATCAAATATTTGTAATTGTTATGTTGTGCGTGAAAATGAAATCTATGTGAATTTGTAATTCACATGTGAAATTCAAATTAACCAATCAGAATTCATATCCAAACACCCTAAAATTTTTAATTATAAATTTCTAGTTTCAATTTCATTGAAAAGATTACGAATATTCAAAATAAATACAATCATTTAAAATAACTATAAATATCTGAAATATCCTTGAATAATTGAATATTTGTAAGAAATTTAATTAATAACTAGAATCCTGAATCAGTTTTTAAAATCTTTAGGTGAAGTAAAGTCACATTCACATTATAAGTTAGATGCAAGAGAATAGAGAGTAAAGTGAGATGTAACTAAATTGATTTACTGCCTATTATTGAAATCTTTGAGTCATTGTAATCATAATTATCATATATTTGCTTTAGCATTATTAACTCTATTGTATTTAATAGTTTATTGAAAGATAATATAACAGTTGATTTAAAATGAGCAGACATAATGTTTTTGAGTAATATATTAGATTTAAAATAAATTTTATTAAATCATCAATTATTTAAAACATATTAATTGGGACTATATATTTATTTATTATAATTAATAATGATTTTTTTTATCAAAATATTCTAATTTATATTGCTGCTATTAATATCAATGGTAAATGATTTGGTGGTATGCAATCAAAGAAAGAATTGTTATACAATTATTATATTATTATTTGATATTAATAAATAAAAAATTTGTTGAAAAGTAGAAAATTTAAAAAATTGTTTCTTTTTTATTTCCCTTTTAATTGTTTTATGGGAGTGGGGAGTTAAGGATTTGATGATTGAATGAAATTTGAGGCAAAGTGAGACCCTGGATTATCATAATTGAGGTAACATCCCGTGTAAACATTTTTCCATCCTAATCCTGTACCCATTTAAAAGTTACTGGCATAATAATTTGCCAGAATGTCTAGGTTGCTATTTGATAATTATTCCTTTAACTTTTGTATATCTTGTAACATTGATTATGGATAAAGAAATTCATTCCAATCTCTAGCTGACAGATTTATAAAATCTCAGTGTCAAAAGATTCTTCTCTTTAAAAGATGCATTATTTATTGTGAGTGATGTTCGGAGACATTAACTTTAGCTAATCATATGCACAAAAAAAATCAGCGCCACTAAATAGAGAATTAATTTCCGTGCGACATGTAACAACCATTTTTTATTTTGAAAATATTCAGTAATAGTAATTGTAATAATTTCTTTAATTAAAAGATGAGTGAACGGTAAGTAAAACTCTTTAAATGTGCATGCACATAAAATAAATCTTTATAACTACTTAAAACCAATTTTTATTAATTATAGTAAAGTTTTAAACAAATACTTTCCACCAGATTTTGATCCAGGTTTGTTGTTCAAAATATTACAGACTTTTAATTTTACAAGATTATTTATTGAAATGAAACTAATATTTTTTTTGAAATTAAATAGCTGGTAAGGAGAAAATTTCTTGTTAAAAATTTATCATTGTAAATTTCATAAATTTAGTTGTTATTGTTTAAAATAGCTATTCCAAGAAGGAAACAGCCTAAAGATGCTCAACATAAGGTACTTATATATATATATATATATTCATTTATTTATTTTTGATCAGAAAATCATTAATTGAATTAATTGATATTTTTACTCAATAAGGTGCGTCTTATGACACCATATGCTATGAGATGTGAAACATGTGGTGATTATATTTATAAAGGAAAAAAATTTAATGCACGCAAAGAAACAGTTGAAGGAGAGTCGTACCATTCAATTAAAATATTTCGATTTTACATTAAATGTCCCAGATGTTCGGCCGAAATCACATTTAAAACAGATCCAAAAAACACAGATTATGTTGCTGAACATGGAGCGTCTAGAAATTTTGAACCGTGGCGTGAAGAAAAAATTGCTGATGTAGAATCGAAATTACAAAAGGAAAAGGAAGAAGAGAATAATCCCATGAAAGCGCTTGAAAATCGTACGATGGATTCGAAAAGAGAAATGGATATTTTGGATGCTTTGGACGAAATTAGAACAAGAAATGCTAGAAATGAAAGAGTGGATGCCAATGAGTTGTTGGATAAATTGGTCGAGGAAGAAGAAGTAACAAGTAAAACTGAACAAGAAATTTTAGAAGAACAAGATGAACAATTGGCAAAATCAATTTTTAATACGGATCATACAAAAAAAATAATCAATGAAGAGCAACATATGAAAAATTTGTTATCTGAAGCCAGAAAATCTTTAATATTGCCCACATTTGGAACGAATAAACCTGGCAGCACTAGGAATACTACTGGTAGTATCTTTGACAGCAACAGAAACAACAATATAATTACAAAAAGAAAATCTAGTAGTTCAGATCTTGGTATTATTGTAAAAAAGAGAAAACCAGAAACTTAGATGAATATCTCTTGTAAGTTTTTTTTATTTTCATCTTTACTATGATTGTTGATTATCATTGTTAAAGATTAAAAAATAATTTAAAAAATTAAGAGATTGAATTTTTAATAAATCATTTTAAAATATGGTAACGAGGTTGAAAACTTCTTTATTTATATTTAATATTTTTTTTAATATAAAAAGCTATAAACGGTTAAACAAACATGACATAATTGTACTTCTCTTGTCATATCAGGTAGGAATCCGGGGTCCTATAAGCATGATAATAATAATAATAATGAAACAATTAAATATCGCAGTTTTGGAGATCTACTGCTACATACATGCCATTTATTGTTTTTTTTACAAGCATTACTGAATAACATTATTCCTGGCTTTTAACCCTTCATTACAATAATAATAGATGGTAGCCAAGAAGAATTATATACTGCAGGTGGAATTTTATTTTTATATCCTCATTTTTATACATGTAAGTAATACACTTGTACATGATATAAAGAAAATAATTAAAGGCACGAAAAATATTACATATGTTTAAGAATTCATTATTGCATATATATATTTATTTTAATAATATATCAAAAAGAATGAGAACAGTAGAAAGTGATTGATTATGAGATAAAGGGCAGATAATAGTATAGACTAATATATGAAAATTGTTAAAAATGAGAAGGCATCTTACTCTCTATAACGAACCTTCAGTTTGACTTCGCGTAAAAAAATTTTTGCCAATGAAGTCATTCGAATCACCTCTAAAAAAGGTAAAAAGTGGAATTTGCATGTATCGTTTCACAATAACCAATTTCAATTTTTGTTCATAATAAAACCAAACGGCACTCTTATCGTGGAATTCACGTTGAGATGAGTCGACATGTGAAAAAAACGATATGATGAATAGTTTAAACCAGAAATTTTAGATGAAGAAAATGAAAAATTAGAATCAATTACAAAAAAAATAACAATGCCAGTAGACCCAAGCTTTGTACGTTGTGGTGGAGAATTTTCACCAATGTTAGAATCATCAACATTAAAAAGTCTGACATAATAATACTAATAATAATACTAATACTAATACTAGTAGTAATAATACTAATAATAATATTAGTGTGGTGTCATCATCAACTGACACTTACTTGATCCTATATTTGAATCAAAAAAGCATTTACCAAGCCTATGCTAAATGATATGGAACGGATGTGTGTAGATGGACATTTAAAACATCTTGCAATAAAGCGGCACATTGCCTATAAATTAATACTAATACCATCAAAATTTATTTTGTTAGTGATTTATGCATTCTGCATTTTTTGTTCAGTTGCGTAGAATTCATCAAGAAACGTTGTTATATTATTAGTATATAGGATTTTTCTTTGTTATCAATTATATTTGATTTATAATGGTGTCATCATTATTGTAATAATAATAATAATAATAGAGCTATCGGAGAAAAAAAAGTTCGAATATTTTTTTTATCCTCCTATTCTTTGGGAGTACACACCAAGAGTCTAGGGATCTTGCAAAATTTTATTTGTTGCATCACTATCTAAACCAGCAATTTTTTTTCCTTCTAATTTTGTTAAAATTCTTATTTCTTTCCAAGCATCGATTTTCTTAAGCAATGAATTTTCAAACCATATCTCAACTACAAAATTGTCATCAATTATTTTTTGAATAAATGTACACCATTTGCTTTCAAAAGCATGGTTAAAACAAGATATATAACCATTCCCAACTCCACAAAATTCATTATTATTTGAAATGCCTAAATCATAAACAAATAATTTAACATTTTTCTCAACTTGAATTAGATATGGTCTGAAATCTATTTTTTAATAACAATTCTTGATCAATTTCTTTTATCTCAAAATCTAAAACCTTTGCTCCAGAAATCCTTGTTGAAGTTTTGTAAATATTTTGATATAAATTAGAAAAGGCATCAGTAGGGCTGTTTTCCACTTCGCATGCATATTCTTCACATTGACAGCAATATCCTGGTAGAAATTCATCAGTTTTATTACCTTTTACAATGTGTAAAATAAATCTTTTATCATTAATGATAAATTGTGTTTTTATTCCAACACAAATAGGATGATAAAAATAAGCATCACTATTGTTATCATCGCGTTAGATGTTTGCCACCACCAATTTTTTTGCATTAATTCCATAATGTAATTCAGGGTCAATAGAACCACTAGATAATAATTGAACTGATAAGTTTTTCATTTTAAAAATAAGTGATTAATGTTTTTATTTGATATATTTTTTTTTAAAAAATATAAAAAATAATTTTTTTTATTTTGGATTCTATTATTGATCAAAGTTTATTATGTTTAATATCCCGTGATCTACATATGATATTTCTATCATTGATCGGCGGACGTGTAACACGTCAATCAAATCACAAACTTCTTTTTTTTTTTGTCAAAAAAAGATCTAAAATAAAGAAAACAATTTATCATATGAGTGGTGGTTGTCACCACTCGTTGTCACTCTGGTTAACATTTAACATCCATCAATACACTTTATCATGAAATCGAAAACATAGTGCATCTACTGATGAGGTTAGTTCAGAATAAATTCATGCTTAGCTTGCAGGAATTTACACCATTTATACCGCATGTCTTCCAATCACATCACTGGATTGAAACTTACAAGTTTTTTTTGTATAGCAAAAACATAAGAAAGGAAGTGTTTTCAATACAGAAAAACAATAAAAGAAAAAATGATGATGCTCGAGCTGGGGGAAGTGGGTAAGTGTTTTAAGGATGGTGGTGGTGGTTATCTCCCACCACTCATTGTTACTCTAGTTATTATTAAAAAGATATTGCAATCATTGTAACTCGTCATTTTGGTTGACCATTTAAAACTTTTTTTTCTTTAAATTATCTTCTTCTCGGGATAAAAGAATCAGAGTACAACAAGAATTACTAAATAATCTCATGACCATGGTGGATGTAATTCAAAACACACCTAAAGAAAAAATTATAGAAATATTTAATGAAGAAGTGGATGCAGTAAAATCATTTAATTTTTGTTTGGAAAACTTCTTGTGTGTTCTTAACACACATTTGGCAGATGAAGAGGTAGGCAATGAACTTTTTATTGATTAGTTGGTTCATTTTTCATTTTAGAAATTAAATTTTTGCATTACCACATAGTGTTCCATGTCACAATCCAAAAAAGAAAACCAAAGTGGTCGCAAAGGTGGTTGCAACCAGGTGTCACAAACCATTTTTATATGTCACAAATATGGTTGCAACCATCATCAAGAATTGCGACCAGCATCTATATTACCACATTCCTGTTACAGAGTAACAGTGGCAGTGATGTTGATATTGAAATATTACAAACTTATCATGATGATGATGATGGTGTAAGTATTTTTAAAGTTCCTTTCTGTTTGTTCATTTTTTTTCATTTTAGAAATCTGTGTCTAACTGGAGAGTCATGTACCTATACATACTGTATATTATATATTGAATGTTTTCTTTGTTATAATAAGTTTATATCTTTATAACATTTGCATTTTTTATATATATTTATAAATACTATATTTTTAATAGGTTATCATACCTAATGATAGTGATAATGATAATGATAATGATAATAATGATGTTGGTGGTAAGCATTTAACAAACTTTTCTGTTTATTAATATATTAATGTCAATTTTTTTTGTCAACATATGTATTTGTTTTTTTTAAAACCTTACAGAGAAGTTATAACCTTTGAAACAGGAAACCAATTAATCACAGTATTGGTTCACTACCAAGGAAACATCATCACAAAAATAATGTAAGTGTAACTGAAACATTAATAGTAGACATACATTTTATTTAATCTTTTTTTCTATTCGCACTTATAGGAATCACCACTATCACCATCACCACCATCCTTGCCACCATCACTACTTGCATCATCACCATAATATAATTATATTTCAAGATAAAATATTAATTTTTATATATATATATAGGCACAATGTGCAAAATGCATATTCCATTGTCCACTAACTTAAATTAATAATTAGATAAATCAGTTATAAAGACAGAAATAAGAACAATGCAAATAATAATAATAATAATAAATATAGTAATTATTAGTTGCTTAATTCTAAATAGTCATTGTGAATATGTGGAATTCGATTTACATTCCCCAAGTGGTTTATTTAATTAACTTAACTACAGTGAACCCTCCATAAGTGCACCCCCTTGGGAATGGATGAGAGCATGCATTTATGTAGTGATGCATTTATAGAGGGTAAGAATTTTTTTTTGTGTCTGTTAAGTGAGGTCTGATAAGTTTATTTATGTTAATGATTTTCAATATACATAATTATATATATCTTTACACTATATTAGAACAAAATGAACCTAACTCAATCTAAATTACGGATTTGTATTTTTAAACCACAACCTACCACTGCATGTGAATTATACATGGGGGTGGTCCAGACCTAATGTCCCAGGAAAACCCCACAACTACTCTCCATACTCATTAAGGTTTCTGGTCCAAACTGTTTTCTCAAAGCCCAAACTAGTTTGGGCAATTTGGGCTTCTCAACATTTTC